CGATTTCACTCTTGATTCAGGGTCACAATTTTGTCCAGTTTCACGTAAAAAAAAAACAACAACTCAAAATTGAAATCACCAAAGGCGAAGGACAATGCAATGATTGGCAGACGTCGGGCATGGCGATGGTGGTGGTTTGTGAGACAGCCAAGGCGAGGAAGTGAATGTACACGGCAGGGAACTCTAAAATTACAACAACCGCCTGGCCCAATTAAACGCTTTCATTCGGCCCTGGCCGTTGCGATATTAATACCACCGCGGGCATTACCAGGCGCCTGGGGGGGGGATTCGAACTGTGAGCCTCCCTGCATTGCGGCTCAAGCTAACGACCGCGAGCTGTCCACCATCGCAAATTTGTCACCCACGCAGTTTCTAAAACACATCTCGCACCGCTTCCGTTCTGCGCATGGCACGACGACGACGACGACAAACATCTCGTCCCTTTCAAGTTTTTTTTTTAAGTTACGATCATCATTTTTTTTTGTTGCGTTCAAGCGGTTTTGCGAGCACGCTCGTTGCCACGGCTCTCCGTCGCGGTGCTCGCAGTGCACTCCCGAGTTGCTCGACGCTACGGGCGACGCGCGATCTTCAACGTACGATTGGTATGCACGGTTTGTTCTCCTGTACCGCGTGTTTTCATGCGAATTGGATGCGATCGAACGTGACGCGATCGAGCCAGCGGGACCACGTCGCGGCGCGAGCAGGAATGAGCGGTGGTAGCGGCTGCCTCGGCGGAGCGTCATCGCGCGAGGCGGGATGCTGCTGGATGCTGCTGGATGCTACCCACAGCGCCTTGGTCTTTGTTCAGCCGACGTACGCATCGCACGTGTTATCGTGGCCTGCGCTTTACCCCTATGCTATTATTTATTATCACGCGATTTCTCCAGAACACGGTGTTCGTAAGGAACGCGGCAACTACCGCGTTACAGGGGAACAGACTCTATACATGTCGAACTTCTTTCGCACCGTACACAACCAACCGTGCTAATCAGAGGAATTACGTCCGTGCGACATTTCGTTTTCTCCTGTGATTGCGTGGTCGGTTTCCTCTGTCTGCTCCGAATCTCTCCACGCGCCATTCGCCGTATTTTATTTGTTTTTGGCTTTTTACCACGTTGGTGACTCGGCTCACCGTCATAAAAAAAACGAGACTTGCATGGCCTCCTGAGTTGGTCTCACCCGACGATTAAACAAAACTCGACGTGAGACCTGACGATGCGCGTGACATTGCTGGGAACCTCTTCTTCATCATCTTCGTCTTCGACTTCTTCTTCTTATTATTATACATTTATTATTATTATTCGGTTCGTGGAGAAACCTCCCGGCAGCGCGCGGAGCGAAACGACGAACGCGGTGCTGAGCAAACCGGTGGCAACAACCTGGCCACCCTCCAGAGAACTACGCAGCAGCAGCAGCAGGACAGCTGCGATTCACCGTCGCAGTGGCGGCGTTATTTGGCATTTAATGTTCCCTGCATGCCCCTCTCTCTCCCCCCCCCCCCCTCCTCCCCCAGTGTCCCCCGCGATTTAAATGATCTCCACAATTCCGGGGCCGACGACCGAATTTCAGAGCGAACTCATTCTCATTTTGTTGTTGTTATTGTTTCCTATCATCTCATCTCATCACGGCACATTTTCGCACCACCCGCCCGCCGTCGCTCCCCACTCCGTGTCGGTTACGATTGCTTTCGGTACCCTACGACGTGACGTTACCGGACGGTTTGCACCACGTCACTTGCATAAGTTGTAAGTAACCCGTTTATCACGCGTCGCGCGGTTACGATGCGGTTTGCCGTGAGCGTAATGAATCGTTTAAAAAAAATGTTATTTTCAAACCGTTGAATCGGCGAAACCCGTCCCGTGACCGCTCGTTGACCATTGCATTGCCGGCTGCGGTGATGTGGGGCGAAGTTTTAAACAGCGCTGGCGCGTGCGTTAATTTCTCGCGGCATCAGGTATTGCTGCGAGCGATCGTGTGTTGGAGTCTCGAGTCCTGCCCACGTGGACCTCCTACAGGTGGCATATCCTATCCTCCCCACCACCTTCGCGTCTCCCCAAACGGAAGATGATGCCACAGACCCACGTCAATCAGAATCTTTATTTATCCTGGAGAAATCCGATGAGCTATGAAGCTCTTTTCACAGATGTCCAGTTAGGGACGGATCAGAAAGTTAGAATAGAAGTCACTTCAATAGGAGCTGTGGAGCCGCTCCAACTGGAGCCACTAAAATAGAAGCCACTCCAATAGGAGCCACTCCTATAGAAGTCACTTCAATAGGAGCCACTCCCATAGAAGTCACTTCAATAGGAGCCACTCCAATAGGAGCCACTCCCATAGAAGTCACTTCAATAGGAGCCACTCCAATAGGAGCCACTCCCATAGAAATCACTTCAATAGGAGCCACTCCAATAGGAGCCACTCCCATAGAAGTCACTTCAACAGAACTCACTTCAATAAGAGTCACTCCCATAGAAGTCACTTCAACAGAACTCACTTCAATAGGAGCCACTCCCATAGAAGTCACTTCAATAGGAGCCACTCCCATATAAGTCACTTCAATAGGAGCCATTCCCATAGAAGTCACTTCAACAGGACTCACTGCAATAGGAGCCACTCCAATAGGAGCCACTCCCATAGAAGTCACTTCAACAGAACTCACTGCAATAGGAGCCACTCCAGTAGAAGTCACTTCAATAGGAGCCACTCCAATAGGAGCCGCTCCCATTGAAGTCAATCCACCAGAACTCACTGCAATAGGAGCCACTCCCATAGAAGTCACTTCAACAGAACTCACTGCAATAAGAGCCACTATCTCAACACCAGACTCGGTACAGATTGGAGTGTCCCGTTGTCAGCCATCCAAGAGGTACTTGTGAACGTCGTCCTTCACCTTTGAGTTAGGCCGAGTGCAGCAGAGACACAAACGAATTGAGCGCAATTTTATTTTTGTCTGCAGCTGTCGGTGACCGGGCTCAGACCGTATGAAACTCATTGCATTGGAGCATCCCCTGGATCGATGAGCAGGCGGCTGGCTGAAACCTAGATTCCGAGGCTCTTGGCAGTGCTGGATTGGTGACTCTGCAATGTTCATCGTGAACCCTGTTGAGTGCTTCGGGTTGTAATTGAGACGTTCCCTCTCGTTGACAGTTTACAAATGTGGGCGACGCAAATGTTTGACTTCTTGAAGCGTTTTCCCCGTATGAATAATTAATTGTAAGGTTTCTACATCATTAGACCTCCTTTGCCAGTACCAAAATGTAAGAATAAGGTTTTTCCCCTTTTTTCTGGCAACAAAACTGAAACCTTTTGACAAGGATTCATGTCTGCATTGACCACAATACCTGCAGTCAAAATGCAAACAAAAAAATACTATGATGATATATGCATTGTCCTTGAAACTGATTGGTCCACACCAAGGGACGGCTTTCTTTTGAGCACCAATTGGGTCGATACCTTATTCTCCTGATGACGCGTCATCTGGTCGAGCACCAATTGGGTCGAGGGTCAAAAGAAAGCCGTCCCTTGGTGTGGACCAATCAGTTTTGAGGACAATGCATATAATATCATAGTATGTTTTTTTTTGCATTTTGACTGCAGGTATTGTGGTTAATGCAGACATGAATCCTTGTAAAAAGGTTTCAGTTTTGTTGCCAGAAAAAAGGGGAAAAACCCTATTCTTATAATTGTAAGGTTGTTATTTTTTTCCCTTTCGAATATAACCTAATAAATGAAATAAAGTTCACATTTTGTTTATTAAATAATAATAACTTAAATATAAGAATGTGTGTTTATGTATCATTCAATACTTACTGTGTCTGAATATTAATATGCACCACACACACACACGTACAAAAAACATCAACAACAGCCGTCATTCGCAGCTAAGTGGCGGTGACATCTCCACAGCGCTTGTCCCAGGATAGGTGCACATCAAGGTCACCGTGAAGTGTCGAAGGCTCGCCGGGAGGAGGTCACAGGACAAACTCAGCTGCTATGTATTGACTGAGATGACTGGCAGATGCACCACCTATGCTGCCAACTGTGCCAACTTGCTCCGTTTTAGGCGCCCGTTACTCCGCCCATTGTTCTGAGCGTCTCTTCCGCCCTCCGTTGTTGTCGGAGGGCAGCTGCCTCCGAATGACCACAAGCATCCTGTACAGAGGCTGATCTTGACACCGCTGGTACCCATCATCGACAAGTCCACTCAGCTCCACATCCTCTTGTACCACATCGGCCTATCTCTCTTCTAGCCCGTGGCGCGCCCATTTAGCCCTCTCTAACTGGTCATTCAGAAGCTACTAAGGGCATGCGGTAGGCTAGCCAGGCCGGCTATATGACCCAGCCAATGCAACCTTACCCGTCGCAGGAGCTCACCGTGATGGAAATTGTTTTCAGATCTTTCAAGAACGCGTGAGCTCCTCGTACAACCCGATCTGGTTAAACCCAGGATGCATCACAGGCAAGCCATTCTGAATGTTTCAAGCCGGCATAGGTATTACTGTAAAAGGGGTCTTCAGTTCGCAAGCAGAGAGACAAGCGGGCATGATACCGTATTCTCCTGATAATAAAACACCAAAGACACCCTTTGTCCTTTGTCCCCTTTGTTTCAAAGCAAAAGTTGGGGTGCATTTCTTACTTTCCAGAGCGATGTCAATAATCCGGAGAATACAGTAACAGCAGAAGAGAATATTTCACCGCGTGGATTAACCTCGTGTAGAAAAACCTTGGTTTAATTCGCTCTCACATTCACACGCGCAAACACACACACTTATCACCAGTCCATCAGACCATTGCCACGATCAATAATGTCAACGTCATGAAATTCAACGCAGTCAATTTACAAAATGGCTATCAAGTGTTGAGGCCAAGCATGCTTGAGATGAATGGACATGGAGCCTTTAAAGTGCTACGCGTCACTAAGACCACAGCCATCTTACGAACGGATCTCCGATAATTATATATGACCATGAGGCCCCCCCCCCCCCACCCCGCCCCCTCCCCACACCCATTCAAATCCTTCCCGTTCCTTCAAGTTGAGAATTTTCACATTTGTAGTTTTTCAGTGGCTCTTCGTCCCACGCGTACACAGTGGAGTAACAGTTGCGGACGATTATCTTCACGACCGTCGCGAGTCAAACTTTAACGGTTCGGTTGTTAGTCTGCCGAGATATTTTTTTTACATCGACGCCTCCTCGCGCCGAGTCGGGAAGCTGCGGCGTCTCAGCCGCGGGTCGTGACGCAGTTATAAATAAATCAAAAGTGGCTTCGGTTGCATCGGGGAAATGCAGTGTGATTCTGAACGTCCGTTCACATTTTTCTTTCGAATTTTTTTTACTATTTTTTGTCGTTTGTAATTCATTCTTGCACTTTCCCCAGCTCGCCGTGTCTTCCGATAAAACAAAAAACAACAACAACAAAAATAATTGTTTCATGCCACAGCCACGGCTATTCACAGCCGTGACTATACCCAGGTCACTCTTGCACAAGAGGTAACGTGGCAAGTGTCGCAAGAGGTTTAATTCGTCCCCCGGTTAAAATAAAGGATGCTCACTCACTGGCTTGACAGTCGAACGATTCCCGAATGTACGGGCTGACCAGAGCTTTAAGAAAATTGTAGATTCATCGATGACCTCTTCGTTTGAGATAGAAATAAACTTAAAAGATGACCTCAAGTGGCTCATATTCCGGAACGGCGGACAAAACAAAGCTACGTTCATCCTTCTGACGAAACAAATTCCTTTTTTCACCACCCAAACTCAACAGTTGTCGCTGTCCATGACGCAACAGCCGATTTCTCACCCCCCGTGGTAATTTAATTTAGTTTCAATGCCTCCTCCGTAAGCTACGTAAAAAAACAAACTGGGGTGATGGCGTTGAGCAGAAGCGCTTTAAAGGAGGCTCGCTTAGCTGCTGGGCTTTGAGCGGAAGAGGCTCGGAGTCACCGTAGAGTTGGTCATGGTTCTCGCGGCCACGCTGGGTTGTTGTTTTAGGCCTCGATGGGGCTGGCCACCATGCTGCTTGGGGTGTCCGGGAGCTGGGAGGGAATGGAGCCAAGGTCGCTCCCTGCGGTGGAGTTCGATCCGGGTCCCCCGTCAGAGAACCCCATCTAACGACGAGAGGGAGGGGAGACGTTGAGCAGAGGCACACGGTAAGTACTCACACTATAACGCGTTTTCTATAGCGCTGTCCTTCCATGAGGGAACACTTATTCGCACAACATTGAACGTGCGCCATTGTAATGCGGAACGCGCGCTGCTATAATGTGGAACACTCTCCGTTATAATACAGAATGCACTCCATTATAACACAGAACTTGCGCCATTATAACGCGGTTTCTGAGCGGTCAACGACGAACTACTTTCTTGAGCAGCGCGGCTGAGCGGTGCGGTGATGCAGTAGGCAGAATGATAAAGTAACGTGGCGGCGTACCCTAAGTTATTTGTCCCGCCATCTTACCGTGTATGCACGTACGTCATAACTTGCCAAACTTTATCGTTACGTTAATTATGGGGAAATTATTGTTCTTTCACGCGTTTTTCACTTAACGCGGCACTTTTCAGGAACGAATCTACATCGTTAGAGGACTTCCTGTATATATAACAGCTGCTGAGCACAGGCCCAAAGGCCTGAAATGCTGAGTGGCGATCAACAAACGGTAAAATTTAAGTTGTGATAGATAAGAGTTGCTACATTTTTTTTTGCATTGAGAAAAGTTACGAGAACTTGGGGAAAAGAAACGATCGGAGGGAGCACGAGGAAGAAACAGAGTGTGAGGCGTTGCGACCTGCAGTGTGGTGGTGGTTGAACACATTATATAAAAGACAAAACAGTCAGTCTGTTAGACGAAATCCTCAACATGGGTGAGCGAATCACTACACTACCGCTGCCAACCATATCACGTGCATCCACAGACACACGCTCACATATGTGTAGAATTTTATATAAATAGCAGCTGCTGATGATGATGTTGACATTGACATTGATGCATCAGCTTCGTCTACTGCTGCAACAACTGCTGCTGATTACGATAACTAAAGATTATGATAGCGGTACTGCTGCTGCTGCAGCCACCGTGGTAGCAACTGCTGACAATGATAATGACGATGGTCATTTTTACCAGGTGCTGGAACGGGCCCTGGTCGAGGTCGCTGCTCAGCGCGAACTCGCTGAGCGTTTTCCACGGCGCTGGCTGGAAACTCTGCACCTCGACGGGGTTCCCCGGTATCGCCGCCTCGTGTGGCACGGGGCTCCCGGCCACCAGCGGCGTCCCCGTCAGGCCCTGCAGGTTCTGCACAACCACAAAGCAAAGCCTCACCATCTAGGCATTTGCAACGACACCGCAAAGCCTTAGTGAGTAGGCCTGTGCAACAACACTACAAGGCCTTAGTGGACAGGCCTGGGCAACAACATCACAAAGCCTTAGCATTTAGGATTCCGTAGCCAGTACCATCGCACATCGGCGGCGTAGGAGACAGGGAGCGAGCAATCGTTACCGTCTTGTCGGCGTGATGCTGCTGCTGCATCTGCTTCATGAGGATGCTGCGCTTCTTGTCCTTGCAGCGCTTGTTCTGGAACCAGACGCGGATGACGCGCGGGCTCAGGCCCGTCATCTCCACGAGCTGCTCCTTCATGAGCGCGTCGGGCCGCGGGTTTGCCGCGTAGCACGTGCGCAGCGTCTGCAGCTGCTTCTCGTTGAGCACCGTGCGAACCCGCGTCGCCTTCTCCGGCCCGCTCGGAATCCCCCCTGGAACTCCGCCGCCGCCGCCGCCGCCACCACCAGCGATGCCACCGCCCACGAGTCCTGAAAGAATCGGGATTCGGTGATGTTATTTTTATTATTATTATTCTTAGCTCTTTCGGTAAAGTCACGTTGAAGGGAAACAATAAAATATATATATAAAACAATAAAAATTCTCACGAGGTTTCGACCATAACACAAACGGTCGTCATCAGGTGTGTCGGTTTGCATTGATTTATTTATTTTTAAACGGTGTTTTTATTTATTTAAAAAAAACGTCAGCGCCACGCGCAGCGATTTGGCAGTTTATTTAGAAGGACTAGTCCATCTATGTTCTGAAAAGAGGAGGGGGGAGACGAAAAATTAATGTATGCTGTCTGAAAGCCACTGTAAGCGTGAACAATCAATTAAGACCTGAAATGGTTAATCAAATCTTTACAATGGTTGCTAAGCCAGAATCCATCTTCTCGGTTGAAATTGTATCTGTGCTTGTATATGTGGATAGCCTCATGAACGAATCTCTCATGGTAGCCAGATGGCTTACAAAGAACCTCTGTCTTGGAAAAGTCAATATCTTGTGAGCCTATTGAATTACAACAATGATCTGCCATGGCCGAGGTGTTGGCGGATTTTAACGCCGAAATGTACTTTCCGGGTGCAACCCTTTGCGTTGGGAAAATGACGCTTGGAAGCAGATATCACAAAGCTACCTCTGAGATCCCTTCAAGTGCCTTCTGGTTTATAGAGTGGAGGGCGGCACTCTCGGTTCTGAAGAAATGTTGTGCTCAATGTTGGATTCGAGGGGACCGCGACTCGGCCTCACCCGACAGGTGCAGACTTCTCGACGTGTGCACCGGACTGCCCGGTCGCGTCAGCGCCGTTCCGAGCAGCCCGCCGCCGCCGCCGCCTCCGGCGCCGCCTCCGGCGCCACCGGCGCCGCCACCGCCTGCTCCTCCGCCACCGCCGCCGTGGTGCTGGTCGGCTCGACACAGGAGTCCGCCGCCGTCGCGCAGCGCGAACTCGTCGCCGGGCAGCAGCTGGCGCGAGCAGGTCTCGCAGCGGAAGCACTCCATGTGGTAGATGTGGGAGCGTGCGCGCATCACAAAGTCCGTCTTGCTGAACGACGCGTTGCACTTGGCGCACTTGATCCCGAACAGCCTGCCGTGCCGTCAACAGAGCGACGCCGTGTGTTGGTAATTGACGGGAGCGCTGCCGCGTGTTGTTAAATGGAAGAGTTCAAACGGCCTCTTCCTCCGCGGGGTCCCCCACTTTGGTTGGGGCAGGCGGGCGCTATTGTGCCTCTTCTATCCTGTCGCCGACACGCCGCTCGGAAATTCCCCGTCGATTTTTGTTCGCCCCCCCCTCGCCTATTGAAGAGCGGCGCGTTGTGCCGGGCCCCATTGTTTTTGTCCCAGTGAGAAACATAATCTAAGCGGTTATGGTCCCAGGTGAGCGCGTGGGCTTTCACAACCAATATTATTCGTAATGGCGAAGGTTTTTTTTGGGTTAGATCGCGTCAATATAAACGTGCCAGTGAGTCACTACTTCAGCACACCGGCGTGTTGCAGAGTAAACCGTCAACATTTGCAACTGAGTGCCGTGACGTTTCACTGGTGACTACAGTAACCAGCTTCATCAGGCGATTTGCCTCAAGTAATAGCCAACCGCCACGTTTAGTTCTTTCTTTCACGTCACAAACCTCACTAATTGGCTGTGTCGGACGGTGGTGGCTTAACGACGCATTCATATTAACGCAACCTGACCTAACAAAAAACACGTTAAGGTGCCGCCCTGCATTTGCTCCGATCGCACCGCTGCCTAGGGCCTCAGGGCCTCCGATAAGTCGGCCGTACGGTGCTCCTCTTGAGGTTTTTTTTTTGTTTTTGGGGGGTCCACTTCTCCCGCGAGACCTCCCGGAAGAGGCGGCAAGAGCACCCCACGCTTTACCCCACTGTGCGTGACCTGCTGATCGAATCGACTGACCGCGGCGCAGCCCGTTTACGCCGCTGGACGGACGGAGGCGGACGGGTTGGGAGTGGAGGTGGAGGGAGAAGGGGGAGTGGGGGAGTGGGGGTGTGTGCGGGGAGGAATTTAAGAAACCTGCACCATCGTTTCAGCTGACATCGAATGGAACCTGCGACGCCCCCACATTGCAGGCCCAGTGGGCACTCACCCATTACACCCCGTTTGGGGTGGCACAGCATCCCCGAGTGGAAACGTGACACCGCACGTCCAATAACCGATATGTTGTTGCGTTGAGGAATGTGACACTGAAGCCGATAAGAGAGCGGCGATTTTTACACTCGCTAGACAAAGGTCACCCGCGTAGCCTGCAACAGACTTTTGGGGCAAGTGCTGTTAGCGAGCGCCTATGAAGGCCGGCAAGGCACACGAGGTGGGTGGGTGGCCAGCGCCACGCCCGGCCGCCTTCGTCGATGTTTACACGCATCGCACCAGGTACTCATCTGAGACTGAGTCTCGACCTAGGAGAGGCCCAGGGCCGGTTCAAATAATCTTCACCGGCGTTGCCTGCGAGCGGGGACTCGAACTCGGGTGGCCGGGTTTTGCGACAGATCCCGCTAAACGCTGCGCTACCGCTCCCCACGAACGCGGGCACACATACACACAGGCACGGAGAGCCGTGCGCGGGTTTATGGCGGAATTATGAAACCCAAGCTGCCAGGGGCGAGTGATTCATTGGGCAGGGGTCAGCGTCTCGTTTACCTATGTAATTTATACCCGCGGGGTGGAGATGGGACAGCTAAGTGGCCGCGTTTAAATGATGGGGTTCAGCGTTATCCAGGGGAGAGTTTTACACAGCGGACGTGCGTGTGTGTGTGTCTGTGTACATGCCCGTGTGTTGTGTCTGTGTACATGCCCGTGTGTTGTGTCTGTGTGTCAGGGCGAGCGGTGGCACAGGCATAAGCGTGGCCAAGCAACGAACCTAGCGGGCGCAACCGAGTCCGATTCCCGCTCGCGGCCAACGCCAGTGATGATATGCATGGCCAGAAGGATTTACGTGGCCGTACTCTGTACTGCAGGAGGAGATAATTGATTGTTCCCGGGCCTCCCCAAAGTCCGCTCAGCCACAAATGGGTACCTGGTGCGGTGTGTAAACATCACCACTAGGGAGACAAAGGCGGTTGTCAGTGGTTGTTGGCCACCCAGCACCACCGACACGCTCACCCAATCACGCTCACCCACTCATGCTCACCCATCCACCCACGCACAAGCGTGATCACTCGCTCACCCACACGCCCGCTCGCTCACTCACCCAGGCGCCTGCTAGCTCACCTACCCACGCACTTGCTTAGGGGGCGTCTATAAATGACGTCACGCGATTTTTGACCTCCTCCCCTTGTCACACGGCGTCAGACCCCCCTCAAATATGACGTCACAAAGCTCTGCCCCGCCCCCCCCCAAAATAAAACATGCTTCAAATCGCTTTAAACTATTGTCATTGTAGTGCGTATTTAATGTGCCGCTGCACTCTGATGTTGTAGGAGAAAACATTTATTAAAAAGTCAATTTAATTAAGTAGAACGTGTGTGTCTACATTTATTTAAAGTTGCGCATTTTGACGTGACGTCACATTTCTCAACCCCCCCCCCCCCACCCCCATGTCACACATCGTCACAAATGTCTGACCCCCTTTCCCCCCTTCCCCCCCCCCCCCCGCTAGGTGCGTGACGTCATTAATGGAGGGTCCCCTTACCCACCCACGTGCCCGCCCGCTCTCCCACCTGCTGTAGTCGCGCTTGCAGAAGGTCTTGCCGTCGCGCACGAAGCATGTGCACGTTTCGTCGAGACTCTGGCCACACTCGGCGCACTTGAGGCAGGCGGCGTGCCACTCGAGGTCCGGAGACACGCGCAGGATGAACGGGTCCTGGATGTGCGTGCCACAGCCAACGCACAGCGCAGCTCTCCTCCGCTCTGCGTCAGGCACACGCGTCAGCATCATCGTCGTCATCGTCAGCCAACGCAGACACGCCGGCACCATCATCATCATCATCATCGCCGCCGCCGTCGTCGTCATCATCAGATTTGAGACGCGCACAAATCGTCATCAGCCAAACGCACAGCGCAACTCTCCTCCGATCTGTGTCACAAACAAAGACAAAGAGCCCCCCCCCCCACCCCCCCCCCCCCGGATAGATAGCCTGTAAGAGACTATTGGAGCACGTGCTGTTAGCGAGCACCTATGAAGGCCGGCACGGCACACGAGAGGGGGGTGGGTGGCCAGCGCCACGACCGGCCGCATTTGTCTCCCCAGTGGCGATGTTTGCACGCCGAACTAGGTACCCATTTGAGGTTGAGTCGACTTAGGGGAGGCCCAGGACCGGTTCAGACAATCGTCACTGGTGTTGGCCGTGAGCGGGAATCGAACCCGGTTCGTAGCGCAGCGCAATGACCGCTGCATTACCACCTCCCCACAAACCCACACACGCACACACGCAGGCAACATTGGTAAGGCGACCAAATTTCTGGCAGGCTCAACTCTTGAGCACATCTCGTGAGCTGGCAGCCCCTCCCACCGTAAGCCCCCGCCCACTGTTACATAGCCACACCCAAACAGCCACTAGCAGCGTCCACACACAGAGAGAAAGCGCTGCTCATAGGACCACCGTTTCCGCCACTGCCAGCCCCGCCCACTGCTCCGATAGCCCCGCCCGTTATTCATGTAGCCCCGCCCACTGCTAAGTTAGCACCGCCCACTGCTCAGGTAGCATTAGCCACCCACTGCCCGCAAAAACTAAACTTTTATTTTATTTTATCAGGGGAAGCACACCGAGCTATAAAGCTGTTGTTCAGAAGCAACCTGGCTATCACAAATAATAGCTCAAAGAAGTGGCTTATCGCGTGGACATTTCTAGCAGCCAATTCATCTCTGGAGGTATGTTGATTCTAAATGTGGATGTGAAATCCCAGAGGACCCAGAGAAAAACCCACGTGACCACGGGCAGAGAGACATGTAAAACTCCAAATATACAGCCGGCGTCAGGTTCGGGGATGGTAACCCACGACCTTCTGTGTACCAGGCGAGGCGGTTAACGTCTCTCAACCACAGCATCCTTATCAGTCGAGCACGAAGCCAGAGTGTGGCAAATTAGCGACAAAATCCCGACGTTCCCAAAAGCTTCAGGATACCGGAAACCAACTGTCCCGGCCGAACCGGAATATTTGATAGCCTTGGGCACTGGCAGTGGTGGTGGCGGTAGCATCAGCAGTTGTAGCATCAGCAGTTTTCAATAGATTCAATGGTAACAGCAGAAGTAGCAACAGCAGTAAGTCATCATCAAAAGCTTCATCATCAGCAGCAGCAGCAGTAGAAAAATTAAATAATGGTCATCAGCAAAATCAACATTATCAGCTGTAACAGCAGCAGCTATCACAGCAGCAGAATCAGGAATCGCAGCATAACACCATTATGCATAATCATCCACTGCTGGATGATTATGCATAACACCGTTATGCATTATGCATAACATTATGCATAACACCGTTATGCATTATCATCCACTGCTGGATGGAATCCTCCCCATGTTCTCTCACTACAGTCATCTACATACCACAATCCATATGCCCCCTGCACGTGAGCCCATCCCATCGCTCCACCTCTGCGGTGGAAGTCTTCTCGAGCATGCTCTCCACTTTGTCTGCCACTCCATCGTTAGTCTCGGCCCATGAGCCCCCCCATCCAATCTAAGACACGCGGTTTGGCTACGTTCCGGTGCAAAAAATAAGTTATACATACACAGTCCTCTACTTACGAACACTCGACTTACGAACACCCGATTCACGAACACCGGAACTTATGAACCAGCCTCCATGAAATATATACTTTTGAGATTGACTTAAAACGTGGACTCGCACGTGCAAACTGAATCGGGAAAATGTTTTGTTCAGCAGAGCGATCCTCAGCGAGATGCAACGAGTCAGCCTCCCGCTGGGAGCGAGTGCTTGTGCGCGTGTGTGGCCATTTCAATATTACGGGATATCACTGTGTTTCCGACGTACGGACCCTTTGACTTACGAACGTTCGCCAGGAACGAATCGTGTTCGTAAGTCGAGGACGGTCCGTACCTCTCTCCCCGTCTCGGGTGTAGTTCCGATCCCGCTCCTCTCGTGCCGGCATTCGTTGCGCACCTCACCTCCCGAAATGTGTTTGACGCCAAGTCATTGACCTCGGTGGAAATGTTTATCCCGATCCGCTCTGCAATGCGGCACCTTCACGAACTTCGATGTTCGCCTCCGAGCGCATCGCCGCCTTTCGCTTTCATCACCAAGTCCGGGTCCTCCGGAAGCACTCAACCGTGAACTCCTCGAATCAGATCCCAACCCCCGTCCAGCCCCTCTTGGATGGGGGAAGCCGGGTGGCCAGTAGATCCGTCGTTAGGGGGGTGTACCGTAACGGCAATTAACAAGCAAAGTGAACTTGGGGGGGGGGGGGGGCGCAAAGAGACATTTGGTGGTGCATAGTGCACCCCACAAACCCTCGCTTGTAAATGTCCACGTCTCTGACCCATTCATCATATTTGGAGTTTGCGTGTTTTCTCTCTCTCTCCGTGGATTTTTTTTCCCTCCGTTTTTTCCCTCCACGTTTAGAAACTTGCATTGAGTTTATTTCGATGAGTTTGCAGCTATAAATTTCGACACGACAAGCCACTTTTTGTTGAGCTGTCATTTGTGGCCAGGTCGCTTCTGAAACAATAAGTTAATACCTCAGTGGGTTTTACCTGGTAAGAGTAAAAAAAAAAATTTGAGTTTTATTTGTATATTTTTTGTGATGTATTTACCTAACCTATACTTTTTGTATCGTGTGTTGTTGTAACGCACTGACCCGGTGCCCCTTACTGGACATCTGTGAAAAAGAGCTGTATAGCCACATCGGATTCCTCCAGGATTCATACACATTCTGATAGCTGATGTGGACTGATTGAAGACCTTATATTAAACACATGCTGCCTTGACTATATTCAACGTAATTTTCCAACAACAAAAAATCCTCACAGCCTGCAGCTCTCGTTGAGATTATTTGGTCGCTAGTATAGACGATTTTTTTTTCACCCAAGCAAGGCATCACACTGAAGCTATACAGCTCATTTTCAGAAGCGACCCGACTATCGCAAACTATGGTGCACCGAAGTGGCTTATCATCACCGTGTGGACATTTATAGCAGCCGCCAAATAACTCTTAAGCCAGGGGTTGGCAACCAAAAACAACAACCACAGACATTTTTTTCAATACTTCAAGAGCCCCAATGCACTGTGTGGTGAATACGAGAGACGGTGGCTTCCTTAATAAATGATGTCACGGAGCGGTGACTTTAAAGAGCCGCACGTGGCAGCAGAGCAGTGCCGGATTGTCGTAGTAGCTATAGTAGCTACATGTGTGTAGCTACACACATGTAGCTACACGTGTGTAGCTACACGGCCCCTGCACTTTCAAGGCCCCCGCACTTTTAAGGACCCCGCGCTAAATGCTTTAAGAGCTATCAATTCGGGTTCAGTGATTCTGCACTTGCTCACTTACTATAGTACTATACCGCCTTCGACTTTTATGAACGACTGAGTGTTTAAGGTTAGTGATTTGTCGTATTATCTGGCTTCATAGTATATTAAAAAATATACAATTACTTTACTATGCAAGTTAAAAATGTGTGTTTTAATATTTGTGTTTTTTTTATTTAGGGGCCCTTTATAATGTGTGCTACAGGCCCCGCACTAGCTTAATCCGGCACTGTGCAGGAGTCGAATGGATGGGCTATCATCCATGGGTGGCCTGTTCGCCCCTGCAATAGGAGCTCTCTGTACGTACTGTGCACGTACGTTGAACTTCTTTCGCACCGTACGTAGCTAACTGCGATAATCAGAGGTGCGGGGGAAGGACAACAAGCTGAACACAAAAAGCAGTTTTGAATAAATACTAGATCGGTAGGTTTTACGTGGTAAAAAAAAAAACACTAACATTGTTTAGTTTCCACCATGGAACGAATATGATGTACGTTACGTTAAATTCGCATTTGCGGGATTTTGAATCTCTAAATTTACACATCTCTGGGGAGCTGTAATCGAACATTGGAACGACGTGTTCTGGGTATTAATATAATTAATAAGTTGTCGTGAAATTATCGACTTTTGTCCGGTAAATGTGTGCTTTAAACAGATTTGCTGCATTCTTCAGAGTGATTTTTTTATTATTATTCTTATTACGTCTTAGGGCCAAAGTGTTATTCTGTGTGAACGCATATTCATTCAATTCTATGATTCAAGACGGTGAGGAAACCAGGGTTCCCTACACGGAATTTTGCCTTACGGGCACATTTCCAGGAAAATATCTGTTGCGTATTGCGAGGGATGCACGTAATTAAAAAAATATATATATATCCGTATATACAAATACTGGCTTTACTACCCGGCTTCGCCCGAGACTTGGATTCTTCTCTTGGATTAATATCACGTGTAGAGGAGTAATATGGGGACGTGACGTGATACGCGCTGTGAAGTGCGATGACGTCATGTAACCTGGGGGGGTACTTAAGGGGGGCCCCGTGACGAAAGCGGGGTCTTTGTGGGAGCCCGGGTTGGAGAGCGGTTGGAGGGAGCTGAAGAGTCAGCCAGTAGGCTAGCAGTAGAGAGATGGCTAAGGGTCCAAGGGAAGGACCGAGTGAAGGACGCCCACCGCTGGTGTTTACTTACTTCCTTTGTTAATAAACCGGCGCAAGCCCTTACTTGAAGACCTCCCTCAGCGTCGTCATTTACCACACAACACACGGCCTACCCGGAGGCTTTGGGGGGGGGGGATGTGTGACGTCAGCAGGCACACTGCGGGACGCTACCGCATGCGGGTGACATCACAGATCTGACGTCACCGCTCACTTACCGTGCAAAATATATCCATTATTGCGGCCCCCCCCCCCAAAATACAAAAG